GCTGACTTTATCTGGTTTGGGTTTTTCCAGGCAAATATGATTGAGGGAGAGAATTGAAGGCATTGGTAAAGGAAAGATGGTGAGAATGGACCACAGTATCTAAGCTGTACAATGAGTCAAAAAAGGTGGGAGCTAATGGCAAAAAAGAGGAGGAAATAATGGTTTGGAAAATTGTGGTAGTGAGGTGTTTGTGCAAAGAACATGGAATGATAGAAAGTTCTGTCCAAGAGAAGGATTTGTCATTTTATAGTTTGCAGGGAGGACGTTTGTAAAAACTATGTTATGACCCTAGGCATGTGGCCCAGGCAAAGTGAAGAGCTTTGGAGGTGAGGAAATAGCCTGGGGCTGGAAGGCGGGAGGAGACAGAGCGCATCCCTCTTGAGGGCTGTGGTCAAGATGGGGAGGAGGGTCTTCAACCAATGAAAGGGGGCTGTCATCTTCCAGAAGGCTGGGAGATGACAGTGACAGAGAGGGGAAGAGGGTGGTGCATCCTGATTTTAGAGAGAGAGGAAGGGAGAGGGAGACAGAGGGAGAAACATCGATGTGAGAGAGAAACATCGAACAGTTGTCTCCTCTATGCACCCCAACCAGGAATTGAACCCACAACCTGGTTATGTGCCCTGACCAGGGATCACACCAGCGACCTTTCAGTACATGGGATGATGCTCAACCAACTGAGCCACACTGGCCAGGGCCTGGCCTTGACATTTAATTTACTAGCTGTATTGTATGATTTTTGAGCATAATAATAGTACCCTCACAAGGTTGTCATGAAGTTAATATATATAATGTGATTACAACAAGGCTTGACACATAATAAGCACTATGTAAGTCCTAAGCTATTATTGTTGTTGTTTTTGTTATTAGTAGTAATTGGGCTTCTTCCTCTGTGAAGTGTGTTTCTACCTTTTGCCCACTTTTCTGCTGGATTGTCTTTTTCTAATTGATTTATTAGAACTTAATATATTTTTCACATTAATCATTTTATTTTTCTTTGGTTATAAATATATTTTTGGGTTATCTTTTCATCTTATAGTGTCTCACCATTTTTTTGTGTATTAACACACACACATATATTATGTGTGTATATATATACACACACACACACAGTTATAAACTATAAATGAAATGATATTCTTTAGTGTTTGAAATAAATATGAAATATGATATACCTTCTATCTCTTACTATTAGCTGATAGTATCAACCAGTATAGCAGCTGTTTCTGAGGCCCCTCTTCAATACTAGAAACCAACCTTGCTTCTCTTTTCCTTTTTTAAAATGACTATAAATAATATGTAATTAAGAAATACACAAGCCTGGAAAGGCAGAAATAAAATCATCTGGTCACAAACAGGTGGCCTTTGGGGCCACATTTGACCTACAGAGGTTTGTTGTTGTTGTTGTTGTTGTTTGCCAGCACAGTGTTGGCCCACAGTGTTTCAAAAATTTTTGAATTAGTTGGCAACCTATTTCACATTAAAGGTTGTTAGCATTTTTATTATACCTACACAAACTAGGACATCTGTCAATGCTGGCCTGTGTCCCCATGGGGCAGTGACGGCCTGGAGCTGAGTAGCAGATGACCCCTTTGTAGGGAAGATCAGATGTTTGTTTGTCAGAATCCTCTCTACTCTGTCTGATCTCTTCAACACTAACCTGAGTGGCAGTTGTCATTTATCCTTGAGTCTGAGCTCCTGTGCCCTCAGTCCAGGCCCACTTCACTCATTCATATTACCTGGCTGCACCCTGCAGACATCTGAGTCATTTGAGACCAGAGAAGGTAAAACTACCCCATGTACTCCCAGCAAGACAAAAAGTACCAGGGTTTGTAACTGGTATTTTTTCCTAATTATGACTGTTTAACTTTAAAATATGTAGCTTAACATTTTTATTAGAATGTTTTTATGTGCCCAGTCATGATGCAAAGTTGGTAGATAAACAGACTAGGTAGAGAAGCGTGTTTAGCCCTAAGTGTGATGAGTGGCAGGTGCCTGACTCATAAGCTCCTAAAGGTCTAAGTTAATGTTTTGGTCCTTTCTTGAATACTAAAACCCTAGTGTTCTTTTCTAACTATAAAAAAGATAGCCTTATAGGAAATGTCTTTTGTAATTCTGTGCTATTCAGATGAGCCAACAAGCACACATTTCACTCTCTGTGCCCTTTTCTGTATTTTTTGCCTTTTCAAAGAGGTCAGTTTTTGATTTTTATTGACAAATCTTCATTAAGAGATTTTAAATATGCCATCATGTCGATTATAACAAGCCACGTTCCTTTTCTCCCTTGACTTTCTCACAATGCAGCTTTTCTTCCCAAACCCCCACCTGTTCTCAAATTAGACAAGATTAATATTATTATTAATTGAGAGTAATACAATTAGTGGTTTTGGGATACATTTTATGCTTTGAACCTAGTCCTAGATCTGACAAGAGGACAGTGCAAGGATGACTAGGCTCTTTCCTACTTCCCCCCCTCCCCACTGAGGTTCTGAAACAGCAAAGATGCCCAGATAAATTCTTGAGAATTTTTTTTCTATTTGTCCTCAACAAACCTTAGCCTCTTCTTATATACTTTTGTAATCACCTAAATTAAGAAATGATTCTCTTGTGTAGATTATTTTATGTTGAATTATTCAAGTAGGGTAGTAGCTGTAATAAACAGACCTCAAAATATAGAATAGCTTGGGTACTGTACTTTTTTCTTGCTCATTTAAGACATGGGTGAACAGGTTTGAGAGGAGGCCCCACTGCTCAGATATTCAGGCAGCAAAACCAATATAGGCTCTCCCATCTTCAATATATGACTTTAAAGTTTGTGCTGGGGATTGTCCCTTTTCCAGGCAGCCAGAAGGAGAAAAATGTATGGAGCTGCATGAATGGGAAGTTTATAATTAGCTGATCCTGGAAGTGGTGGCGTACATCACTTCCTTTACATTCCATTGGTCAAGGCTCCACCACCTGACAACATTGTACTAATAGTAGAAAAATATCAGTTCGCTTGGTAACTTGGAACTTGTCTTGTTTGTATAGTTAATAACTTGGGAGTAATCCACATTCTCCATAGGCTGCCACTCGCATTGCTGTGACAGTCCTGTGGCCCTGTCATTATAATTTAATCTTGTGGCACAAGTGGAGCAGTGACATTGGCACAGGGGCCATGCTGGCGGTTAGCTACTCAGCCAGCTTTGTGCTGGAATTGGCAGGTAAGAAGGAACCATCAGAACACAGTGCAGGACTGCCAGTCAACTTGACTTGATGTTTCACCCTTGCTTGTCATGGTATTTCTTTTCCGCTGCTTTGTCTTATGGTTTGCACTCAGCTAAGGATATTCAGGAAGCTCACCCAAACTTCTGGCAACTCTCTTCTCTTTATACTTTTGACTGATGACTTCATAAAGCCCGAGACACTGGGGCAGCCTCCAGACTCTGAGACTTCATTAGTCTCCTTGTCTATTCTTGGCAAGATAAGCAATCCTAGACAAATGGAAAGGCTGCTTGTCTCAACTGCTGAAGCCTTATGTTTCTCTGGGTTATGTACATCATTGAACTTTTAGCTCTTCCTTTCCCAGCTCAAGCTTCTGACCTTGTTCAAATGCCATGTTCTCCTTAAGTAATTATTTGAAGTGATGTTGGCATCTCTGTTTAATTTCTAATTCCTTGTTTTGATTTTCACCCCACTGGATATCATTTATTTTTACCAGGCCACTTGTGTTTCCCTTGATGCCCATGCCCTAAGTGCTTGATGAATTGGATCTTAGCGTTAGACCTAAAATATTAGGGGAAGGCAGAGGGATGCCAGGAGGAAGGAAGCCGATGGGGAGCAGGCTGCAAGGGCCCAGTGCAATATAAATCGAGCTTCAAGGAGGCATTTGGTTGTTAATGTGGAACAGAAGGGTAACCAATCCCACAGAAAACGTGGGGAAAGGACAAAGGAATATAAGTAAATCGATGGTAGGCAGAATGGGGCAGTTATAGAAGTAAGGGCCAGGAAACAATTCCAGCGTTCCAGGCTTGACACACGAGAGGCGAAATCAGAGTGATCTTTCTTTTTTCCATCACCATTTATCCTCTCTATGCCCTCTTCTACCTCCACCCATCCCCCGCCACCCCTGTAATCACCACACCGTTGTCCATGTCTATGAGTTTTCTTTTCTTTTTTGCTCAATCTGCACCCCCCCAAGTTGTCTCCCTGCTCTCTATCTCTGAGTCTGTCTCTATTTTCTTGGTAGTTAAGTTTGTTTATTAAATTCCACATATGGTACTTGTCTTTGTCTGACTGGCTTTATTCACTTCCTGTAGTGTGCTCCAGGTCCATCCATGCTGTCAAAAGACCTCTTACTAACTCTGAGGACATGTCTAGGCCAGTCTTTCATGTCAGAAATGCAGACCTGAACCACAGTACTTCTTACAATCAAATGCAAGTGTGTGTATGTGTGCCTGTGTCTGGAAGCAGAGCATCATTTCTGCTTTCAGAATCCCAAAGAGGTCCATGATCCATAAATGGCCAAGAGTTACTGGATTAGAGGGTCAGTGTATCCTGAAAGTAGTCAAAACCATGAAGGAAATGAGATGACCAGGAGAAAGAAGGTGAAGGGCCTAATGCAAAACCAGTGTGGAATGAGATGTTGTGGGGGACTACTGTTTCATTCTATAGTGAAGTCTGAGTGTCAAGCTTAAAATGTTCAAACATGAAATTAGGGCCCCATATTGTAGAAGCTGAGAGAGCACTTATTTCCATGTCAAAGTACATGAAGTAGAAAAATAAAATCATAGGTTCACATTCCACAAACCTAGACATACTTTTCAAACTGATATTCTTCAGGAATGCAGTTTTATAACAGCATTTTGTTTTGATTTTCTACTCCACTCAAACTAACCTTTTGTTCTACCTGTGACACTTTTAGGCATCACCCAATACAAGCCTGGGCTAGTTTCCACAGGCACAATAAATAATGACATTTCTGTTTTTATGAAGGCACTAACACCAATTTGTGTTCCTGCTAGCAAAACTGCCGAGTTCTTGAGCAGACTGGAGACAAATCTGCCACATAGAAGTACCCGTCAAATTGCTTGCCATGACCCACAGTCTTCAACTTGGGTAAGTAAGTGGAATACCAGGCAGAGTGCTGTGTGGCATTTTAAAAAAGAGGTGCTTATTGAGTGAAGATTTAGGGCATAGAGTGACCTGCACAACATAGAAAATCAGAACCAAAGGCAGATGGCCTAACCTGAAACTTCAGTAGTTGCCTTAGCTGTGAAACAATACTTGCGCTTATTACCTATATGATGGACACCTGGACTAAATACACATCAGCCTCAGAAAAGCCTTTGATCTCAGCCAGTCATCCAACCATCTGCCCATCCCTCAATTTATTTTTTATTTATAGAAGGTCTACTGAGGGCATACGGTTTCTGCCTAGAAGGACCTTAGTCAAGTAAAGGACGAAACCATAGTTATAAGGCAAAGTAGTTAGTGCAGAAAATATAGCAATTGGAAAGCTGCAGTTTAAAAGATGAGTCAATACAGTGAAGGGAGTCACTTTAGGTGTCAAATGAAATGAATCAAAACACAGAAGCAAGAATTAAGGTATAGTGTCAAGAAAAAGCAAGGCTATGCTAGGGAAGAAGTGTTGTGTGTGGCCGCATTCTCCAAGAGTGCACGTCCCCAAGAGTGCAGGCTAGGAAGCTGGAGAGGTAGGCAGGAGCCCTGAGGAGTTTCTCAGCAGGGGCAACCTGGGTGGGATAGGTCATTGCGTGGGCTGTCTTGGATACTGCAGGATGTTCAGCATTCCTGATCCCAAGGCACAACATGCTAGTAGCATCCCCCAGACATTGAGACACCCAGAAATGCCCCACACAGGAAGCTGGTGGCATTCCTGGTGGAACACCACTGCAGAAATCTGTATGTCACATTGGAGAACTTGGACCTCATTCTGTGAGGACTGAAGGTCATGAAAAGCTTTAAACAGGGAAGGTTCAAGGTCAGATTTGTACTTTAGCTGGATCCCACTGAACCATGTGAAGGTGGATCTGAGGGAATAGCGAGGCAGATAGGCCTCTGAGGCCCTTTTCTGTTAGTCCAGGTGAGGGGTGATGAGGACTCGAAATCGGGTGGTGGGTGAGAGGACAGGTCAGACAATTGCTTAGCAGGTGAAATTGGCAGGGCTTGCTTATTGACTGGCTAATTGGGGACAATAAAGTAAGTGTAATTAAGGATGAGCCTGGGAAGGGGTTGTAGTTCAAAGAAAAGATGGGTTTGAGTTTTAAAAAGTCAGTGTTCCAAGATTTGGGCAGGTAAACAATAAATTGGTAGAGAAACCTGATCTTCATCTTCTTCCCCCACCCCCTTCTCCTTAGTGACCACATGTTAAAAATGTCAGGAAGACATTATGACACTCCTTGGGAAAAGGTCCTTTTACTCTACTTACAAGCCTTTAAGTGTTTGTTTATTTTTTTCCTGCTGCTAATGTGATGTTCCAAAGTCCAAATCTGCTCGTGTGGGTTCCTCAAGTGATGTCAAATCTGTCATCTTTCTCCCCTCATTGCAGGGCTCTGGAGGAAAGGGTTAAGAAGCTGTAGGTAGTAGAGTTAAATCAGGTGTTGGGACAGTCTTTGATATCTGTCCAGACATGCTGTGGCAGTGAGGGAGGGGAGGGAAAACAGGAGTTGGATAGCCTTACCAACTGGGTGTTTGGCTGCCAGGATGGTCTTGATTTCAGAGCTTCCTGACGCCTATGGTTTGAAACACCTGGCAGAACTGCGCGCTTGTTCTGTTGATTTTGGCTCGATTCTTCAATTTAACAAGATCATCCTGAATTTTAATACTGTCGTCGAAAGCAGTAGTAATGTCTCCCAGAGCTGCATGTTTTGTGGGTTGATGAGTGCATTAGTCACACAGTCCTGTTATTAACAGAAAGTATGGAGCAGATTGGACCCAGGATGGTTCCTTATGAACTGCATTTAATAGCTACTCTGATTTTGACACCAAACTATTAACAATTTGTTGCTGTTCAATATATTTAACTGACTTTTTGCCCATATTATATTCTTCTCATTCTGTCTAATCCATGTGCATAGAATCCCCCTGAGAGTGCTTTAGGAAAGTCAAGACGTACCTTGCACTTCTGTGCAGTTATGATGCCTGTGGTTTGCCCTAACTATGGGCAGTGTACAGGATATGAATACTGTGTGATATAGGGTGTGATGAGCTGCAGGGTTTTGAGTTTTTTTAACAAACAATTTTAATTTTACTACATAATGCAACTTTCCTGAGAAAATTGTTTTTCTTATGCTATTTATATGTGGATCTGGCACGGGCAGATAGGAATTTAATAAATATTATATAATTATGTCAGTGAAAAAGACTACAAGAAAATTCCTTTAGAAATTACACAAGAGAACTTCAGACAAAAGATTGCACACTAAATGGTTTCCAGTCTCTGGTTTACTACCCCTGCTTCCTTCTCGTCTAAAGAGAATACTAAGTGTTAAAACTCTCATCCTGTTGTTCTACTGCCCAGTGGGCCCTATAGGATAAAGTCAAAATGCCTTAGCTTAAGCAAAAAGCCCTGTCTGCTTTCTGCTCCCTCCCCTCAACTCCCCTCTCTGTGTAATCCTATAGTCTAGGTCATTGCCATTCCTGGTATGGTCCATGGACCAAAGGCATGGCCACACCTGGAGCTTAGAGAAGTGCAGACAAATCTCAAGCCCCACTACAGACCTAAATCAGAACCTACGTTTTAACACTGTCTATGGGGGAGCTGTGTGCACATTAATGTTTGAGGAGCACTTCTCAATCACTTACGCCTTTATGGCCATATCCTTTCAAACTTCCACTACTCTAAACACTGGTGTTTAAAATTTAAATTTAAAATTGAAGCTTGGTTACTTCAGTTTTTATCTATGTGTCACATGTTCTTTAAAAAGTCAACACTTAGGCCATATGTCCCTTCAATCCCACTTTCACCCCAACACTTTAAACTCCTTGCATTAATTTCCATTTGCTTATAAAATAAGTCTTGGGGATTTAATGTACGGCATGGTGACTATAGTTAATTCTGTATTACATATTTGAAAGTTGCTAAAAAATAGATATTAAAAGTTCACATCACAAATAGAGGCTTTATAACAACGTAAGGTGATGGATGGATGTTAATTACTGTGGTGATCATTTCACAATATATACAAATATTGAATTATGTTGTAGACCTGAAACTGATATGATGATATATGTCAATTATACCTCGATAAAAAAATTTCCCATTGCTGCTGTAACAAATTACTGTAAACTCAGTGGCTAAAAATAACACAAATGTGTTCTCGTGACAATTCTGGAATCAGAAGTCAGAAATGAGAATGAAGGGGCTAAAATTCGGCATCAGCAGGGCGGGTTCCTTCTGGAGGCTGCAGCGGGGAATCTGTCCCGTGCCTCTTGGCCACCATCATCCTTGGCTCCCTGGCATGTGGCTACATCAGTTGGATTCCTGCTTGATTCTCACATCACCTCTCTGCACTTGGACTCTGCCTTCCTCTTAAAGGACCCTTGTGATTATTATATTTGGCCCACATGGATCATCTGGCTCATCTCTTCATCTCGAGATTCTTAATTTCTGCAAATTCCCTTTTGCCATATAGGGTAGCATTCACAGCTTCCAGGGATTGGGACATGGACATCTTTAGGGGGCTTATTTATCCCACCAGACCCCCCTAGCTGTTTCTTTTGTTATTTGACTCCACATATCTGTTAACATTTATATTGTTTATCTCGTGATTCATCAATTTTAGCTCTTAATAATTTCTTTCCCCTGTTCTCCTATTATAACAATTAGTATTTCATGTGTCTCTTTATTATGACAATGTAAATATTTTCTTCCAAACCAGTTACATTTTCTTTTGTTCACAACTTTTTTAAAATGTCATTTTATTTTTGCATTTTTTTTTAGTTTTCTTTGAACATTTGACTGCTTTTTTTCAGCGTTTGTGACCATTTACGAAGACTCTTCATATAAATTTCCATACAGTTTTCTATTCTGTGCCTGTTAGCTTGTCAGTGCCAGGTTTCTTTCCCTCTTGGAAATGCCCCTTCTGCATCCCTCTCACCTCCCACCTTAACTTGGGCTGGTTGTTCTTTAGGCCTCCTACACAGTTCTTGTCCTGAAACTTTTCTTTCACAGACTGCTCTCAGCCTTGTCTGCACATTGGAATCACCTGGGGGGCTTTAAAATCCACTGATGGGTGGGTCAGACCCTCCTAGACTCTGCTGTTTTGTGGCCTGGGCTTCAGGGCTTTTAGAGCTCCCCAGGTGATTCTAATGTGCAGGCAATGACAGGCATCGCTGCTTTAGTCATCTGGGGAATTGCTGCTATTGCTTTCCTATGTTGGGTCCCTTGATTTCTGGGTCTCATCTAGATTCTTGCTTTATTTTTTTGTTTTGGTGGAGCATGTTATTTAATAACTTCTCAAGAGAAGACGCATGTTCAGGTCCTTGCATGTCTTAAATGATCTCTATTCATCCCTCATTCTTAGCTTGTAATTTTCTGCTAAGTATTCCAGATTGGAAATAATTTTCCTTCAGAATTTTGAAGGCATTGCTCTTCTAAACTTGAGAATTAGTTCCTGGGAAATTTAAGACCATCTGAATATCAGTCCTTACGTGAGGGCTTTCCTCTGCTTTTCCTGGAAATACTTTAATAACTTCTTTTTTTTCTTTCTGGTATTCTGCAATTTTAGAGTGCTATGCTTTAGTGTGGGATCATTTTTATTCCTTTTCCAGAGTAAAGGAAACTCATCTCTAGTTCTAGATGATTTTCTTGTATTATTTCTTTGATTTATTTATCTTCATTTTCTCTTAATGGAATTCTTGTTACTCAAATCCTAGGCCTCTTGGATTTATCTTCTAACTTTTTTGTAAAAATTATCTTTCCCCCTAATTTATCTTTGACTACTCCCCACCCCCTTTCCTGACATATTGAGTTAGAAAAGAAACCCAGTGCTTTCCCTCCTGAGCCTCTCATTTACTCTCACACAACCACCACACTCTCGACACTTCTGACACCAGATGTGTGTTTTTTTCTCACCCCAAGAAATTCTGAGACCCCAGCTAGGTGCCCTACAGTTAAACTCAACTGTGTCACTACCTACCTGGAGATAGTGTCAGTTCCCACAGGTGAAGGGCTCAGTCCCACAAGACTGCCTCCACTTCAAGTGCCAGTTGTAAAACTAGTAGGTCCACAGGTTACTCACAACCTTGGTCCAACGTGACTACAAAGTGGAGGTTCCTTGGGCTTAATTAATTTGCTACTGCAGTGTGCAGAACACAGGGTAACATGTTTACCGGTTTATTAAGGATGTAATAAAAGATGAAGATAAACATCCAGATGAAGAGATACATAGGGAAGGTCTGGGAGGGTCCTAAGCACAGGAGCTCTGTCCCCATGGAATAGGGGTGTGGCCACCCTCCTGGAATATGGATGTGTTCACCTACCTAGAAGTTCTCTGAATCCCTGTGCTTTTGAGATTTTTCTCGAGGCTTCCCCACATAGGTATGCCCAATTAGTAATTCCATCTCCAGCTCCTCTGCCCTCTCTGGAAGACAGGGTGGAGTGGAACAGAAAATCCCAAGTTTCTAATGATGGTTTGGTCTTTCTGGTGACCAGCCTCCATCCAGGAGCCCACCCAGAGTTGCCTCATTAGAACAAAAGATGCTCCTAGTACTCATATCACTTAGAAAATTATAATGATTTTAGGAGCTCTGTTCGAGAAACTGGGAGCAGATACATAATGTCAAGAAAATATATGGATGATAGGAAAAACACTTATATGTATTATCTTCTAAATATTTTACTCGTTTGTCTTTTGTGGAGGGAGAAGTGATATTTTTAATTGCCTAGAGCTTCTTTTTACTTGGTTGCTATTTAAAAATAACAATATTTTCTTTTTAAAAAATAACTTTTTAAAAATATGTTTTGATTGATTTTAGAGAGAGGAAGGGAGAGGGAGAGAAAGAGAGAAAAACATTAAAGTGAGAGAGAAACATCTATGTGGCAGAAAAATGGATCAGCTGCTGCCCCCTGCATGCCCCCCACTGGGGATTGTGCCCATAACCCAGGCACATGCCCTGACTGGCAATGGAATCAGCAGCCTTTTGGTGCATGAGGTGATGCTCAACCAACTGAGCCACACTGGCCAGAGCGTAACAATCTTTTCTTGTTTCATGGATAAAATATCACCTTCTGCCTCTCAGAGCAAAGTGCAGAGAGCATAAGAAAACTTTAAGGAAGGGGGCCCAGAGGTTCACTGCTCAATATGCAGGATTTTACAGAATCCTTTCATTCTCAACAGGATATCTGACCACTGCTCCCTCTGTACCAGGCATGCCTTATTTAGTTTATGCAGAGAACACACTTTAAATATATATATATATGTGTGTGTGTGTGTGTGTGTATGTATATGTACATATAATACATATGTGTGTGTATATATATGGATATATACACACATGTATATATATGGATATATATATGGATATATATACACACACACACATATACATATTTATATGCACCCCTATGTTCATTGCAGCATTTAAAAAAATATGTTTTTACTGATTTCAGAGAGAGGAAGGGAGAGGGAGAGAGAGATAGAAACGTCAATGATGAGAGTCATTGATCGGCTACCTCCTGCGCACCCCCACTGAGGCTCACTCTCGCAACCCAGGCATGTGCCCTGACCAAATATCAAACTGACCTCCCACTTGATAGGCCACCATTCAACCACTGAGCCACACTGGCCGGGCTGGAGAATACACTTTTGATTTTCTGTCAGGATTGGGAGAATTAGCAGCTGAATTTTCAGGGTGGGAGCAGGCATAGGCCTCTGCCCGTCATCTATCAGCCTTCCCTACTAACTGGTACAAATTTTGGGCCCTCACATGGATCTGGAGAAGATTGGCTTCTTATGGGTGTCCTCCATCCCCTTGCCAGCAAGTCTTCAGGTTTGCTCTTCCTCTCTTAGTTGCTTGTCATTCTTCATCTACTCAGTATTTATAGATTTTTGTCTGGGAAAACAGCTATCTCTTGGTTTTTGAAGACAGAGTTTGTTTCATTTCCTCTTCTGTTTAGGATAATTTTTGAGAGAAGAATGGAACAGGAACATTTTTATTCCACCATCTTGCAATAGGAACTTAATGCTTGTCATGGTTGAATTATGTCCCCTCCACCCCCCAAGTTCATATGTTGGAGTCCTAACCTCCGGTACCTCAGAATGTGACCTCATTTGGATATTGGACCTTACAGCAGTAATCAAGTAAAAGTGAGGTCATGAGGGTGGGTTCTAATTCAATAGGAGAGGTGTCCTTATAGAAGGGGGAAATTTGGACACAGAGACAGACACTTACAGAGGGAAGGTGATGTGAAGAGACACAGGGAGAAGATGTCCATCTACAAGCCAAGGGGAGATCCTTACCTCATGGTCCTCAGAAGGAACCAACCTTGCAGATGCCTTGATTTTGGACTTCCAGCTTCCAAAGCTATGAGACAGCAAATTTCTGTGGTTTAAGCCACCCATACTGTGATACTTTGTTGTGGCAGCCCTAGAAAACCAACACAATGCTATTTTTCATTTGTTCAAATGCACTTCCCCCTACGTAGTCTGATTCATACTCACTCTTTAAAACACAGCTTAGTGTCACCCGCTTTGAGAAGGTGTCCTTGATCCAGTTTAGTTAAATGCCCTTCTTTGTGACTTCCTCTTTCCTAATACCTGTCATGATGTACTGTAATGATTAATCATATCTGACTTCCACATTAGGCTGCCAATGGTTACCTCCAAGGTGCCACTGCATTCCAGATCCTTTAAAAAAAAAAGCAAAATAGATAATTCAACTGGTTGGAGACCATTATCTTCCCTATAATTCTTATTTTCCAACTTTTTTTCTTACCATATTGGTGATTGGTATGTCCTGTCATGTCTTCCAGGATATCTCTCAAATCTATTTCTTCAATTATACAATTAACTTGAATTCCCATTTTGATTTTAAAAATTGATTTAAAGAGAGAGGAAGGGGGAGAGAGAGAAACATTGATGTGAGAAACATTTATTTGCATGCTCCCCGACTGAGGATCAAACCCACAGACTGGGTATGTGCCTTGACTGGGAATTGAACATAGATCGTTTTGGTGTAGGGATGATGGTCCTACCAACTGAGCCATACCGGCCAGGGCACTTGAGGTCTGGGATCAAGTCTTACCACAGTGCTTGCACATAGGAGGGTTAAGTATTATTTATTGAATACTTATGTTATAAGCATAGCTTTGGGAGAGGATGAGTAATACTCTGTATTTTAGTTGAATAGCAAAAATTTAAGTTTTAATATTATGTTAAATTCATATTTAATGATAGAAAAATATGTGAATACAATGATATAGAAATTTCTGGGGTTTAAAACCAAGAAAAATAGTGATCAAAAGTTTTTTTCTCCCTTATTTTTGAACAGAAACTTCCTGCTCTGCCTATGGATCACAGCTGGGTAAGCACGCGTTAGGATTGCAAGTAGCTGTGAAGTCTTCATAGTTAAGGTGCCATGTGACTTCCCAATTTCTGTGGCCTTTTAAATGACACTTTATGTGTCTAGTTTTGGGTCCTAGTTTTTGATTCAGGAGTGTCTAATCATTTTCTTTTTCCTGACTTAAAAGCCAGCACCCATATTGTGACAAATGAACAAGTGGTTAAGTTTAAAAGGAAGGTATACAAACAGAATTTAGGTTCCCCACTCAAATCATCATATCTGATTTAACTAAATATTTTACTCCTTTTAATTTCTTGACTAGAAGATGTGCTCCCTTATCCCTTTTCCCCCTTTTAGGTTTTATATGGAATATTTGAGATGAAGACTAGCTTCCTCTAAAAATAAGGGGTCATTGGAGAACCGTTCCCACCTTCTGTCTTATCACAGTCCCCTGTGTTTAGGATATAGACAAGAGAAAGTCATAGGATGTTTGCTTAATGTAGCAGGGTTTGGATATACAAGGGCTTTCTGAACACACTCAGAGCTCTTCTATTCTAATTATTAATGTTATAGATGATACAACCCCTTTCTGGGAAGTGCTTTTTATTATTTGATGGAATATGGGTTTTATAGTGACAGAAATGGGGGAATGAATTAAGAAGTGCTTGAGAAAAATTATAGTAAGAGAAAAAGGGGGACTAGCCTACATAAGCTTTGTGGATTGTTAGTCCAAAGAACTAGGCCTGAAATATGCAGCCTACTGGCATGCTGCTGCTGGTAGTTTTATGAGAAAAATGGAATTTCCGGCACGTTAGCTTACCAGGCTGGCCTCTTCCTTACAGAGGCTGGGCTACAAATCAGTGAGAGAGAGAGAATGTATATGACAAATGAACAGACAGCATATTTGATATCTCATAAATTCCAGAATATATGGTCACTATGACAGGGTATGAAACCCTGAGGTAGTGGGTCAGTGGGACTAAAGCCGTCCTGTTGTGTGTGCTGGCTCTCCTAAGGCTCCCCCTGGGGTCATAATTCAGCCAGAATGATGATTCCTGTGCTTCTTAACAGGCCTTGTTTTTCTGCCCAGAAATAGAAATAAGCTTCAGGTACAGACTGGGGATGCAAAGACTTAGAAAGAAATGCATATCTGGAATCATGTGGTATCAATCACCAGTTGACAAGCTGTTTAATAGGATCCATTAATGAGCAGTAGACATGTCAGTGCTTCTAAAGTCAGTGTCACTATTGCTTGTCTCTGATATTGACTAATATCAGCTGGTTGGAATATTCTTGAAAAATATTTAACTTTTCCCTATTTCAGAGCCTTCCCATTAGAAAGAATACACTATGTTGACTATCTCTGAGGGGATTTATTTATTTATTATTTGTTTGTTTTGCATGGGATAATTTTGAGAAATAGCAGTTTAGTTTGAGCTGAGGAAAGTTACAGGGAATAAAAGAGGATAATTTGGAACCATCTAATCGTAACATGAATGTCAGGTCAAAGAAGTCAGACACTGTTGAGTTATGAGTCTCTTAAAGGAACAGTATTTACTTTTGGCCATGACTATGAGTTCAACAAGAAGGCTATGCCCTTAACCTCTGTTGTTCAAAAAGAAAAATGGTCCCTTATGTTTGCATCTAGTTTTATGGAGGACAATTTCTCTCTCTTTTATTCCCTTATTAGTAGCATTGTTCAGGAAAAGTGGCTCAACACAGTTCTTGGCAGGCAGTTCTAAAGAAGCAATACAGAGTTCTTGTTTCTGCAACAGCTTCTCCTCCAGCTTCCTACCAGGAAAGTGTTAGCATCCTTCACTGTCATAAAAGTGTTCTCAATGACTCCTTAGCTGAGTTTCCCAGCTGTTCATTTTGAAACTTCAGTTAAATAAATTACTTTTTTCACATTCTTTTTCTATCTCCCTTTCACCCTTGCAACTTTCTTTTTTCTTTTTCTTTTTTTTATTAAACTTATTGGGGTGACACTGTTTAAAAAGGTTACGTAGGTTTCAAGTGTACATTTCTATGATACATGATCTGTATATTGCATTGTGTGCCCACCACCCAAAGTCAGATTTGAGCGGATATTTTTAAAGCTTAATTAAACAAGTATTTAGATCATCTTTTAAAATATGCTTATACTAGACTTCTTTCTCATATATACCAAGGGACATCTTCAGACACATGCATAAATCATTCAATAGGCAAGTATGTATGGAGAGCTTGCTGTATGCTTAGTACGGAGGTTGAGTTGTTAAAACCAGATCCATGGTAAACAGCCTAGTATATTGTGGTGATGCTTTTTTCTATGATTTCCCCCCTATATCTTGACAGGCCAGAAGCCAGGCTTATAAGGATTCTCTAAAGGAGGAAGAAAATCGAAAGTTACAGAAGATAAAGGAAGAACAACGACAGAAGGTACTCACAAGACCCTGTTAGTCACTGCTAATTATTATTTACTTCTGACAATAGATCATTTCAAAGGGCTTCTGAACAGAAACATTTATATACATACAAATCCTAAAAAAACCCCACAAGCGTTAACACTAAAAGGTGAGATGTGGATATGTTTTAACGCATGGTGGTGAGGTGGCTAATTCTAGTCAAAACTATTATGGTACTTTATCACATAGGGCCATAGTGTGTCTGCTGAAATAGGCACCCGCAGCTCATAGAGATGAGAATATGGAATTTTTCCTGTTTTGTGCATGGTAGGTAGTATTCAAGTCATTGAAAGGATAAGAATAATGTAACTTGTAAATATAGTTATTAAGCTACTATATAAGCTATGAAGAAACCATTAAACATTCTCTCACACACACACACACACACTCATATTTTTCTTTTGACAAAGGCCATATTGAAAGCCACAATTAAGTAAGCAACATTATAGTAATATTCCAGTAGTTAGCAAGTAGAAGCTAACTATTAGTTTTAATGTCTGTCAAATGATATGACAGTGTTAATCTGTTTCTGTGATCTTTTAACTTAGCATCAAGTCCTGAGGTGGGTACAGAGGAGAGTTTTATGAAGTCAGTGTACTTGTGATTTATTTTAAAGTAACTTCTAGTGAATTTTAAATAGTGTTTTATAAAGTTTGGTGTATATTTTTGGAACATGAAAACCATGAAAAGTAGAAGATTTTACAAAGAGAATGCTTGACAGATTAGAAAATTAGATCTGGGATTTAATTTTCGGGTTGAACAGTTATTTTAAACAGTGAAAATTAAGCTTTTTATTTCTTAATCTTGTTTTTCTTCTGGAGTTAGACAAATATTGATACATACATATTTTCTGGTTATTGACTGAACATATTTTTCTTTTACATGAACTGCTTCCCTTTACTTGCTGTAGCTTTCTGTAAAATGACTAAGCACACAGATAAGTCCATCATTAGGGATTTCAATAGCGGTGGAATACATAAGAGTATTTATCATATTTTTGTTTAATCTGTTGTTAGAAAATGTCCACTGAAGGTATTCTCTGATTGGTAAAATCAGTCATTCCTTATCACATCAATGATTTAGACTTAAGTAAATAAGAAAGATAATGTCTATGGTAAGAAGATACAGAAAACTACACATTTATATCACTGCATCTATTCATGTGCCTGTTCATTCCATTCATTTAACAAGTATTTCCTGAGTACCTGCTCTGGAGTAACTTGTAAGTAGATCATCTAGGGCAGGTTGAGGTGACAGCACATTTATTTGTTTCTCTATGCCTCTGACTTTCACTTTCTTCCATTACTCTGGCCTCTGGGGACAGTAGGTCCTTCCTTAAGTTTACATGTGATTAAGTTCCCTCTTCTAGAAATTTATTTATAATTCCCTTTTCCCCTCTATACCTTCAATATATTTTCCACCATTGACAGATACTTGTATTTTGTCAACTAATATGCTCACTCTTGCCATTCTAAAATGAACACACTGACTAACCCCTTCCTTGATTGTGCTGTCCTCAGATATATCACCTTTTCTGCTTCCACCAAATTAATAAAAAGAAGGACAAATATAACCTTACTGTAATCACATTTTCATTACTTCATCCATAATTCTTTATGTTCTGGTTTATATTCACAAATGCTCTTACTGAAACAACTCTTTAAAGGTAAAATCCCCTCCCCTTTAAAAAAAAAAATCTATCTTTATTGATTTCAGAGAGAGGAAGGGAGAGGGAGAGAGAGAGACAGAAACATCAATGATGAGAGAGTCATTGATCGGCTGCCTCCTGTGCGCCCCTGACTGGGGATCGAGCCAGCAACACAGGCATGTGCCCTGACCGGAAATCGAACTGTGACCTCCCAGATCTTAGATTGGTGCTCAACCACTGAGCCATGCCCAACCAGGGAAGGTAAAATCCCTTCTGAACATTCAATTCAGTGGGCTTTTTGGAATTCCTATCTCCCTGTAACTCTTTAACAGTATTTAACACCACTTTAAAGTTTTCCTTTTCTGGCCTTTTTACTGCATTATTTCAGTTGAATTGTCTCAGAATAATCTATTACTGTATTCATTTACCTATCCATTCATTCATTCTACCAACAAATATGTATTGAGCTCCTGTTACGTGTTCAGCCTTGAGCAAGATGCTAGAGCTTCAATTAAGAGCAGGATAGTCCCCATATACAAAAATTAACTCAAAATGGATCAAAGACCTAAATGGAAGACATGAAACAATAAATTACATAAAGGAAATGATAGTTACTAAACTAATAAACCTTGGTCTTGGAGAAGATTTTATGAATTTGACCCCAAAGGCAAGGGAAATAAAGGCAAAAATAAGTGAATGGGAATATATCAAACTAAAAAGCTTCTGCAGGGCAAAAGAAACAAACAACAAAACAAAAAGGCAACCAACTGAATGGGAGGAGATATTTGCAAACAACAGCTCTGACAAGGGGTTAATATTCAAAATATAGAGTGGGGCAAAAGTAGATTTATAACTGTTTGTATGAAAATTAATACAATAACAAATAATACAAGAATAAGCTCTGTTTCAAGAACTCAAAATTGTAAACCTACTTTTATAAAGTTTAGTGTATATTTTTGGAACGTGAAAACCATGAAAAGTTCTTCTTTTCCAGAAGAACTCAAAATTGTAAACTTATACCCTGTATATAAAGAATTTATACAACTCAACACCAAACAAACAAACAGATGGGCAGAGGACCTGAACAGACACTCCTCTCAAGACATACAAATGGCCAACAGGCACATGAAAACATGCTCAATTTCACTAGCTATTAGGGAAATGCAAATCAAAACTACAATGAGATACCACCTCACACCTGTTAGAATGGCTGTTATCAACAAGACAAGTAATAACAAGTGTTAGAAAAGCTGTGGAGAAAAGACAACCCTCATTCACTGCTGGTGGGAATGTAAACTGGTACAGCTACAGTGGAAAACAGTATGGAGGTTCCTTAAAAATTTAAGATACCTTAGCAACCCCTTTTCTGGGCATCTACCCGAAAAATTTGAAAACATTTGTTAGCAAAGATATATGCACCACTATGTTCTTTGCAGCATTATTCATGGTGGCCAACACATGGAAACAACCAAAGTGCCCTTCACTAGATGATTGGATAAAGAAGATGTGGTACATCCACACAATGAAATACTACTCAGCCATAAGAAAAGATGAGCTACTGCCATTTGTGACAACAGGGATGGATCTTGAGAATACCATGCTAAGCGAAAGGAGTCAGACAGAAAAAGTTAAAAACGATAGATTTCACTCATGTGGGATATAAAACTGAAAGCAACAAATGAACAAACAAGGAAAACAAAACTCATAGACACAGATAACAGCATGGTGGTTACCAGAGGGATGTGGGAGGTATTAAAGAGTAAAGGGGGTCAAATATATGGTGAAGATGATTTGACTTTGGGTGGCCGGCACACAATGCAATATACAGATCCTGTATCATAGAAATGTACACTTGAAACCCATATGATCTTATTAACCAATGTCATCACAATGAATTTAATTATAAAAAATAAAGAACAGCATAGAAAGGTTCCTGCCCTCCTGAAGTTTACTTTTTAATGGAAGAGATAGATGATTAAAAGGAGATGAAATAAAACATTGCATTTTTTATTTTATAACAGTGAATCACTTTGTAGTAATCTGCAAAAGAAACAATTCGTGTGTTGTGATAGCTTCAGAATAGTGTATAAAATATTGTTGATTCCCTACCTCTCTCCTAAAACCCTCATTTTTTCTTCAGATATCTATTCTACTTAGCATGGCTTGTGTTTCAGAGAAGATAGAAACCACCCAAGTCTCAGGGATCCAATCCCAAATGGTTTAACCTTTCATGGGAATTCCCATCCTTGACTGTGATTGGTTTAGCCATGATATGAGAAGTAGTTCCAACCAATGAGAGTCATGGGAAGCCTGCCCTTTCAGTACAAATATTCATCAACATGAAATAGGCTACTCTTCCCATTTAAAAATTTTGAGCTGGATTTTTTTAATCTTTCTCTTTTGTCTGATTCCAGGTTTTTCTCTACCAGCTTTTTTGTTAGAATGTATGTGATAATTTCTTTTTCTATCACTTAATTTTAACCTCTCTGTGTCACTTGGTTTAAATTAGATTTCTGGTGCCAAAAAGGACTGATTTTTTTTTTAACCTCATATTACAATTTCTTTTAATAGGTAAATTTAATGTAGTCTCATTTATTGTGATTATCAATGAATTTGCACATATCCTTGCTACATAATTTACTTTTTAATCATATATTTTGTTTTTTATTTTCTCGACTCCTTGAATTTCCTCTGTTCCATTTAGTTTCTTTTGCTATTTTCTCTCTCCTCTCCTCCCCATGATAAGAAATTTCAGTGTTTTTGTTTTTAATCTTGTATGACCTTTACTTGGCCCATTTAATCTTAAAATATATGTTTCTAGCTCCAGAAAATTTCTATTTTATTTTTACATTCCTTCCTCTGTATTGTCTCTGATCTCCATTTCTGGGATAGGTATCAAATAGATTTTGGAAATTATAGATCTGTTCTCTGTATCTCTTAATTGTTTTTCTTATACTTTTTGTCTCCTTGGCCTTTTTTCATTGCATTCTGGGAGAAACCTGCAGCTAGATCATCCTGCTTACTGAGTTATTTCATAAGTTTTCATTCCTCTTATCTGGCACATGTATTGAATTTGTTTATTTACCACGATTGCTGATTTACGTTTTCATAGCAATGTTCCGCTTTATAAGTGCAATATTCTTCCTGATTTCTTTATTCATGGTAATTATACAGACATTAAATTTTCCATTTACTATTTTAACAGTATCTTTTACCCTTTCCATTGTAAGTTTTATCTCCCATTGTTTTCTTTCTCAAATGTTTGATGATTCTTGGCTATTGTGTCATATTTCTTTGGGCATTCTGCTGAGGTGTGCAAGAGCTTG